TGATACTCTATAAGCAACAGGGAAAAATCATCTTCAAGGCTTCAAATGATTTGATTTTATCAAGTTACTGCAGCCTGCCTCTTTTCTTTCCTTTTCTTTCCTCTGCCATTTAAAAAAGGCAAACAATACAGAACTCATGTCATCCTGTCATCCTGCACAGGGGCCACGGTCCCTTCTGTCTCATTTCCACTTGAGTGCCTGTGCTGGCCGAGCAGCTCCTCCCGGCCTCTAGAGCCTGACCGAGCCCAAGAAAGCTTCGCCTCACAGAACCACAGTCCCTCAGACACCACCTACTCCAGACGGTCCCTGAGCCAGGATCTCTGGGCTATCATCCCTGACAGATCGACAGAGGTCTGGACCTTTGCTTCCCTTTCCCTGGCCCTCCCTGTCACTCTTCCTTACAAAGCATAGGCAGTTATCTTTTGATAATCCAAGTTAAACTCAAGAAACCTGCCTAAACTCTGAGTCTGTATTTCCCAAACCTCCTCTACACTTAAGTGGATAGCTGTGGTCTAAAACTAAAGGGACTGAAGACATTCAAAGCAGTAATTTAGGAAGGAATGGAAAGGTTTTTGTTTTTTTTTAGTTATCTTTTTCTTGGCCAAGAGAATCTAGACATTAAGTTTAAAAGCACTTATTTAGAGGACAGCTAGGTGGCGCAGTGGATACAGCACTGGCCCTGGATTCAGGAGGACCTGAGTTCAAATCCAGCCTCAGACACATAACACTTACTAGCTGTGTGACCCTGGGCAAGTCACTTAACCCCACTGTCTAGCCAAAAACAAAAAAAAATAAAAGCATTTATTTAGTATTTTGGGAAAATCATTAAACAATGAGAAACTAGGTGGTCAAGTGGATAGCGTGTCAGGTGTGGAGTCAGGAAGACTCATTTTCCTGAGTTCAAATCCAGCCTCAGACCCTCGCTAGCTATGTGACCCTAGGCAAGTCACTTAACCCCATTTGCCCCAGTTTCCTCATCTGTAAAATGAGCTGGAGAAGGAAACAGCAAACCACTCCAGTATCTTTGCCAAGAAAACCTCAAACAGGGTCACGAAGAGTTGGACACAACTGAAAACGACTGAACAACAAATTAAACAACAAATATTTATTGAATGGCTAATTAAAAACAGGACATCATGAGTGGAAGGTCATCTGGTCAAAAACACCATGCTTAGAAAATCTAGCCAAGTAATTCAGTTAAATTGATTAATTTAAATTTTGATTATTAAAAATGCTTAAAAGCGGATCAAGCATCTATCATACACAGGGTCCTGTGGAAAAAAGAGTTTATGCTTTCAAGTAGTTTAGAATCTCCTGAGGGGGGGGTGTAACACATACAGGAATAAGTAACTATGAAATAAACACATAGTAAATTTAGGAGTGAGAGGGTACCAAGAAGGGCCACGTGGAGGAAGCGGACTTCACAGGAAACTCTGGACTTTAAGTCGCAGAGGTGAGGAGGGCGTGCCCTCCTGGCACCGGGGAGAGCCTCAATGGAGGCAGAAAGTACAGGGTCCTTACCAAGGAATAGCTAGCAGGCCAGCATGACTGGAGCGAGTGAGTGTGTGAAGGAGAGTAACGAAAAACAGGACTGCCAAGGTAGCTGGGATTATATTGTGGGGTGCTTTAATGCCAGGCTAAGGGTTTGGAATGAAGGGAATGAACGAAGACTTCCGAGCAAAAGAATGACCACGTTAGCTAAGGCTATGGTTTCAGACTATCAGTCTGGCAGCTCTGTGGAGGATGGACTTTAGTGGGGACATGGGAAGCAGGATCCCCAATCAGAAGGCCAATAGTACAGGTGAAAGCTGATGAGATCTAAGATATGAGCTGCACAGAGGAAGCCTGATGGGACAGATGTTGTGAAAGGAGAGTCTACACGACTGGACAACTAATTGAATACAGAAGATGAGAGAGAGGAAAGAATCAAGAATGACTCCTGCCTCCAACTGTCTAAACCCTTTGACCCTGAGACTCTCTTACTGGGCTAAACCCCATCGGAATCCACTGATATACACCAAAATATTGACAGCAGCACTTTTTGTGACAGCAAAAGCTTGGAAACAAGGGAGATGCCCATTGACTGAGGAATGACTAAACCAATTGTGGTACATGAAGGTAAAAGAATATTCCTGTGCTGTAAGAAATGATATATGCGATGAATACAGAGAAGCATGGACAGAGCTACATGAACTGAGCCACAATGAGGTAAGCAGAGCCAAGAAAATAATAGACACAGTAATGACGACAATATTAACAGACAGAACCACAGAAGCAAAGGTGAATGTAGCAAAATTATAAAGATCAAGTATGACTTGAATGAAGAGATACGAGAGGAGATTCCCAACTCCCTGCTTTGTGAAGGTGCGAAGGCCGTACATGTTACACATGGTACAAATTTTTGCGCCTTCTTTTTGACATACTGATTGGTTGTGCTGATTCCCCCCCCCCTTTTTTTGCCTATTAAAAATACTATTTGGTATATGAGATGGCTTTCTGGAAGACAGAGAGAAAGGGATAGTGGAGAAGATTCTGATGATATAAAAAAACAAAACACATCAATACAAATGTATTTATTTTTTAAAAAAAGAATGACTACAAGACTGTAAACCTGGGTGACTAGAAGGATAATGGTACACTCAACAGGATCAGGAAAGTTTGGAGGAAGAACAAGTTTGAGGATAGGTTCCATTTTGGACATTCTAACAAGCAAGCACTTAGCAATGCAGCGTTTAAGTTCAAGAAAGAGATCAGAACTAGATATATAGATTAGGGAGCCATCAGCAAAGAGATGATAATTGAACCCATGGGAGCTGATAACAACCCAAGGGGGAGAAAAGAGAACAGGACCCAGGTCAAAACCCAGAGGGACTCACATACAGGAGCAGGAGAAAGATGATGATCCTGCAAAGGAAATTTAAGAAAGAAGGCTAAAAGAGGTAGGAGGAGATCCAAGAGAGAGAAAGGCACCAAAGCCAAGGAGAGGTTGTAAAAGTGTGGGGAAATTCTACATCACTGTTACTCTTAGCCTAAAGGGATGTCATATTAGACATCCAAGAAGGCGGTTCTCTTTAGGTCACCAAAACTTAGACCGATTTTATTTTTACCTAAAAGCAACTTCCTAGTTTTTCATCCTCAGCCCTCACATACCAGGCATTACTAACCAAAAGAATACAACTGGAGGGGATTTAATCTAATTGCTGCCATGCTTTTTTTCCCTATATTAACTTTCCTTGAATTTGTTCAACATAGGCCCCAGTTTCCCGGCAAGGTTGTGTCCCAGCACATACACATCATTAGTGGATTGATGAATTCACCTTCCTACTTAGAAGATTGCCACAGGTTCTGAATTCTTACCAATCCCTACATTTATATCTCAGCTACTTATTCTTCAGTCTTCTCAAGAGGAAAAGGTGGTGCCCACTTCCTGCTCTGCTCATAAGCCATCAACAGATAACTTTCCGATTTCTAGCAACACATTAATTTGAACGAGGCAAAAGTTAAACTGCTCACTGTTATGGAAGGCACCTTCAAAAATAAGTGGTTATCTCTTTCCTGAAAGCTGCATACATGTTAAATGACCAAGCCCCGGATTATTCGGGGAAAAGGGGAAGAAATAATCCATAGTCATGGGAGTGGAAAAAACAGAAGCATGCCACTATCCACCAGTAAAACTCTATCCCTTTACAGGAGCATGGTGATTAGTTCTTGGAATCCAATTCAGAGAAAAGTACAGTAACAGTATGTCAAACTATATAAGAAGCGGTAAAGCTAAGTTAACAGCCCTGACTATCCAAGGCTGAAAGTTTTTCATAAGAGGGAAGTAAGCAAACTGATGGGGCATTTTCACAAAAAGAAGCAAAAACAAAGTACATCTGTCCTCCTTATATTTCCGGTCTCACCCACAAAGCTTCTTGGGCCTTTTTGGTATTTTGCATTCTATAAACTGCTACTGACAAAACGACATAGACAGAGGAAAAAATAAGCTTTCTGAAACTATGAGACTGCTGAGAAGGCATTCCCTACATCCCCAAACCTCTGGAGAGGAAGGTGTAGCCAGCACCTTGTGGCCAGCCCTAGCGTAATGACTATGTTTTAACTGCAAGAGCCACTCTGACAAATGGTCTTTTTTTAACCTTATTGATTTGTTTTGGGCAAGTAGACCTTGAAAGAAAACTTTAAGATAGCAGAGTTAGCAAGAACAAGATAGGAGAAATGAATAAAGACGAAGTAAAAGTAAGTACGAAAAGATTGCACTCTTTTTCTATTTGCATTACAGTATTTATAAATTAACACTGCACTGGGAACAAAATAATGGGTGTAACGAAACTTCTTTGTGCTACAAAGCTGGGAAAAGGTTACCAAAGCAAAACGCAATAAAATGGCAAGACGAACGCTTTCTGTACTTCGGCTCTCCCTCAAGGAGATCAAGCCCAAAAGAAAGCAAGAAAGAGACAAGGGACACTACCCCACACCACCAGGTCCAAGCTCACGACCGAAGGATCTACAAGCGCCGCGTGTGCATCGCTGTGGATCCGAAGGGAAAACAAACAGCCAGCTTCGGGGCTGAAAAGGAGGAGCAAAGAGCATCGGAGGGGCGGCCCCGCTCCACTTAGCCTGGCTTAGTCAGTCTTCCACTCCGGCACCGGATTAATGAGAGCTGGCAGGAAGGCAGGCACTGAATGCCGACGTGAAAGGCGGCCCCCCGGCACAGGCTGGGTGGGCGCCATCCCCGGAGCACCCACCTCCTTAGGGCCGGCCCCTCCCTCCCTTCCGGGACACTCGCTGGTCCCGCTCTCTCGCCCCCCTCTCCCGGCACCCCGACTTTCTGGGTGAGCCCCCGCTTTCTCCCCCATTCTCCCAGGCAGGGGCAGCCCGGCCCCCCCGCAGCGCCCCTCATCCCCCGGCTAGTCCCCTCAGCTCGAGGCCCCCGGCCGCCCCCTGCCCAGGGTCCCCCCAGTTCCAGCCCCTGCCCGGGACGTCCCCCCGGGGGCGGATACAGCTTGAAGCCCCTCAGGATCTCCCGGGCCCGCTCGTCCTCGGTGGACATGACGAGGCGCCGGCGGCTCCGGGCGGCGCTGCCCCGGAGCGAGTCACCTGCAGCGGGCAGCGCCGGGGGCGGCAGCAGCGGCGATGGCGGAGGCGGCAGCGGGAGGGGAGCCGGAGCCGGGGCCGGGCCGGGGCCGGGGGCCGGAGCGAGATTCTCGGCTGAAGAGGCGGCGGCGACTGAGGCGGCCGCGGTTCCCGCCCCCCCTCCCCCACTCCGGCCCGCCCTCCGCCCCTTTGACCAATGGGAAGCCGCTATCCTGCCGGGGGCCGGCCCCTCTTCGTGGATGGGCATCTTATCCTGCCAATAGGAGAAGGAGCGGCTTCGGCGGGGGAAGGAGGAGCGTCCCTTCGGAGGACCAGCTCTCGGTCGTCATCCTCCCCACCCGGCCTGAGACGGGAGCCTCCTTGGGTCAATCTTTTCCTCTCGCGTTGCGGCCCGCAGGACCCCGGCAGGGGATGAGAGCCAATAAGAGCGGTTTCTTCTGCCGGCAACGTCGAGGCTCTGCTCGAAGAATTGAGCGCGGGGACTACAAGTCCCAGCATGCTGCGCGCTTTGGAGTCCTCAGAGTCCCCTACCGAGAGGCTCGGGAACTACGAGTCCCATGACGTCCCTCAGGCTGGTCCCCCTAAATTGGATCGCGGTGTGGATAGACTCGCGTGGACTCATTCGTAAACATCCAACCGCGTGTGGGTCCTGTACTCTCGAGAGCTGTACGTCGCTTTCCACCACCCTGACCCTCTCCGTCTCTGCTTCTGTCACTCTGTCTTTGTCTCTCTCTGTCTCTCTCTCCCTCCCTCATCTCTTCTCTCTTCTTTTCTTCTTTCTCCCCATCTCCCTCCCTCTCCCTTTGTCTTCTCTTCTCTCTCTCCCTCATCTCCCTCTCCCTCCCTTTC